GGAAATTCTTTGTTCATAAATAGACTATTCATATCCAGAATACCTTTTGGGAAGCGGGGCTATGTGAACAGTTGAAAATTAATGCCTACTCATATCCTTGTGGGAAAATTTAAATACCAGTCCTTCATCACTCTAAACAAAATAGAGAATACATTTCATATTATATGGAAACATCTTGGGGCGATTTATTCAGCTCAATTGAAATCAATCAGTTAGGGGGTGAAACTTGCATTATTCGTTTTGGACGATATGGGTTTTCTCGAATATTAGTAGTTTTGTAATATAAACTAAACACTAAAACGAGTCCATGCTGGACTTACATGTGAATTAGAAAGACTATGAAGAGTCGTGTAACAAAAACCAATGACGAAAAATATATCCTAAACCAAAAGCTGGGGTAACCTAACTTTCTAGTTTAAAGACATCTTTCCTTCTCCAATGGCTCCAAATGAAGTTTTAGGTAGCACTCGATGCTAGAACTTTTTCAATAGCACACCTGGTGCGCCCACTCTGCTTATCCCAACCAACTGGGCATATGTTCCCATAATCTGGTAGCTAAATTTTCATATAAGATTGCTGAACAACAAACAAGCTATCCTTGACAGGAGGAGATCTTAGACGGCAAATAAAGTCTGGCTGTTGAGAAAATTGTGGAAAGTTCAGCTCAAATAGTGATTTGTGACAAAGTACTCTCGACAAACCAAGTTCTCGTGGACCAAAATGCAATTTTCCCTCATCTGCGCGTCTAAATGAATTTCTCATTGCGACCAGTTTGCGGAAAAGACTGGTTCCTGCATGTATCCTTGCCGACACTAATCAACTGGTATTCTGATTGACAGCAGAGCTGTTCGGTAGTCATTCTTGTCAAGTCCAATTTGGTACCATTTCCATCAGATACTGACACTACGAATGGAGTAGGCTAGCAAGTGGGAGCATTCTCACCCTGTACAGGACCTCTTCGGCGCCCAGCACTTTGCCTTCGTCGTCAAGTCGAAAGGTCTTGCACAACACGAGGCGCGAGTAGACAGAGGCAAAGTCACGCTCCACTTCTTTCGCCGCGGCCTCCTCGATGAAATGCCACGGATGACAGTCGCTCAGATCGCCCAGCAGACCGGGCCGCTTCAGGCCGTGCAACAGTACGGCCCTCAAGGCGTTGGCCAGGCTGGCGCAGGTGATGCAAAGAGGACAGGAAGAATGGCATATTAACTGGCAGATGAAGAAAGTTGTTGACGTATAAGCTCGCTTGCTTTAGAAAACTATGACTGATGAATGTAAGAGTTGTGTAGATGAGCTATTTTTATCCTCCTCCTCCTTCGCATGACGTGAAAGCTCAACTGGAATTGGTGTTTTCCAAAGATCAACCACTCATTATCAGCAAAAGACGACGTTCGAGTCCCGTTGTCCTACAACCGTTTGGCTTTAATGCGAAAAGGCTATCAGGCTCAAAGTTACGTACTATGCATACTCAACTGAAATGGGTGATTTGGCCATTTCTCTCTCATATATGTGACGATAATTTACATGAATGGATCCATGCTTGAGTGATCACCAAAGCCTAATGTCAAGCTCAGGTGATGGCGACTTCATGAGACAGGAAAACAGCCATGACTGCGTCTTGAAGCATGTATTGTAAACATGCTAGCGTGCAAGTCAGCTTACGAAACCGTCTGGCATAATCTGTTCACGCAGGATCATCACGGTTCAACGACCAAACGGCGCAAGCTGACATGTCTGGTTTGGTTGATTAACTCAATCTAGCATGTCGGACGAGTGTGTGTCAAGTGACAACCATCAATAAGTGAAGAAGTTGAGTCGCCTCTTTTTGGACTGAAGTTAACCATGCTCTCTCTCTCTTTTATTCAATCGTTCAATCAAGCATGAGTGATTATTGCTCAACTTTCTACCAACCTTCGTCACATTCAAAGTATTCCCTAATCTGCTACTTTCACCAGAATCTCTTATCTGCCTTTTGACAGTAGATGCACCGAAATTAACAAACCTACTCGTTTTAGAGCCATTTCATCTCATCTCCAGCCGCTAGCCTGTGTTCGGCCACTTCTGACCGTTACACGCCGACACGTCTCACCAGCATAAGCTCGTCCATAGAAACACAAAATTTTGTAGGATTCAGCTCTTGATAATGAGTAGTATTTATCTCTGAAAGATGGCATAACCGAAGAAGGTATACTGTTTTTATCCCCCGCTTTTTCATTAGTTTGGAAATTCATTCTTTAATGAAGAAATATTATTATCAATTCCTGGAATACATTTTTCAGTCGATCCGACAACCCGCTAGTCTCATACTAATCATCCTAATGATAAGTGACTTCAGAATTCAAGCCTTATTCTCGTAGCTACGATTGGAAAGGAAACTCAACAAACAACCAATATACAAAATGTATTCCCCCTATTTCGTTTAAGATGATGAAAAACTGGTAGTTGAATTTGCTCACAATGACATGATTAGAGCCCACGTTTTCATTAAATTTAACATAGTTTTGCTTTGTCAAAAGGTGTTCTTATCCAGGATTAAGTGGAGTGTAGTCTTTACCTCGCCTAGGTCTTATCAACACCCCCAGCGGGACTCGAACCATGACAGTGCAGTGCCTACTCTCGACACGATAACCACTACGTCAGACTGCCGCGAGTGCCATTGGGTCACAGGGCAGATGTAAATTTCAAGAAAAAACCAGACATTTACATTTGCCATGATAATCAATTGTACTACTTATTTTTCGTTCATAAGTAGCGTTTCTCATAAAAATCATTTATTGGTCACTTCGGGATGCTACATATCAACCAAAAATAATGCAGTCAATTGTCATAGTAAATATGATTTTGCTTCATCGGTAATCGCACTAAAGAATGTAGCATGGAAATTGTCCGACCTTCCTTGAAATTCACACCCTTCTCTGTGACACAATGGCGCTCGTGGCACTGTGGTGTAGTGGTTAACGTGTCGAGATTACACGCTGCATTTCCATGGCTCGACGACCGCTGAAAGTGTTGACAAGACCTAAGCGAAGTCGAAGCTGCCCTCCACTTAAGCTTGGATGAGAATACCTTTTAGAGAAGCAAGACTATGTGCAATTGAATGGAAATGTCAACTCTACTTCTATCATTGTGGGACAATTCTACTGCCAGTCCTTCATCATCTTAAACGAAATAGGGTGAAAACATCTCATATATTTGATTAATTGATGGTAGTCTGGAAATTCAACATATAATCGAAGCAATACATGTTTGTATCCTAAATACAACTCTTCTTAAGTTATCCTCTTCTCTAATGACCAGAATATCCCAAAATGGTAAAGACTTAATCACTTGCATTTTCATTGTTAAGCTAATGTTCATTTCACGTTGGTTAAGTGAAAGTAGGAAACTATCTAAACTTTCCTTACCAATCGGCCAAATGACAACATAGTCATCCATATACCTAACGAATAATTTGGACATTAGTATTGTATATTCCAATGAGTCTTGCTCGAAGTTGGTGCTACAGTTGTTCCCCAAGATGGGAACCAAGCAAGATCCTATTACAAATCCTTGTGTCTGTTCAATAAACCTGCTGTCAAAGCTTAAATATGTACTACTCAAGGAAAGATTAAAAGGTTTAAGGATGGAGGCTCTACTCAACCTTATTGCTCGTGTAAACTCATGATGCTATTGCAGACTTTGCACGTAAGCTTGAATGATTCCTTGAACGGGACTATTTGTGTACATAGAAGCAAACTTAAGACTTCCTTTGAAATTGTCTGCTGATTCTCTAATTTTACAAACTATGAAGAATTTTTAACTGAATATATATCATTTATGCGATAGTATCATTTAAATGAACTATAATTTTTTTCTATATAACTTGACCTAGCCATGACTTTCATTGCTTTAACTTTTTCGGCCTTCATAACGAGTAGATTATTGCTACATAAATATCTACAAATTCTATTAGGAACACGGGCTTTCTTTGGAGGGATTATATCGTCAAAATGAGGAATCACATTTATTTTAGTTTTTAGTTCTGAGTATGATAAGATAAGATAAGATAGAATCGGACAATCTTCTTGACCTAGTGCTAACTTAAGACTTTTACAAGAATTGGTTCTAGCTCTAAATGTGTTGGTCGTCTA